CTCCTTTCAGGGAGTTGGAGAGAGCAAGAAGGTCTCCCCTCAGCCTCCTCTTCTCCAGGCTGAACACCCCCAGCTCCCTCAGCCTCTCCTCATCAGACTTATTCTCCAGACCCCTCACCAGCTTTGTCGCCCTTCTCTGGACCCGCTCCAGCACCTCAATGTCTTTTTTATGGGAGGGGGCCCAAAACTGGACACAGCACTCGAGGTGAGGCCTCACCAGTGCCCAGTACAGGGGGACAATCAAAGAGTCTGGCTCCCTCCTCCTTCAACCCTCCCTTGAGATACTTAGAATCATAGACTCATAGAATGGTTTGGGTTGGAAGGGACCTTAAAGATCATCTAGTTCCAACCCCCCTGCCCTGGGCAGGGACACCTCCCACCAGCCCAGGTTGCTCCAAGCCCCATCCAGCCTGGCCTTGAACCCCTCCAGGGATGGAGCATCCACAACTTCCCTGGGCAACCTGTTCCAGTGTCTCACCACCCTCATAGTAAAAAATGTCTTCCTGAGATCTAATCTGAATCTTTTTTCTTCCAATTTAAAACCGTTTCCCCTTGTCCTATCATTACCCTTCCTGGCAAAGAGTCCTCCTCCAGCTCTTCTTGTTGAGTGTGGGGTTTAGTTGGTGGGTGCGGTGTTTTTGGTGGGCGTTTGGTGTGATGTGGGTTTTTTGTTTTGGTTTGTTTTGTTTTTTTTATTTTTTTGGTTTTTTTTGTGGTTGGACTCGATGATCTCAGAGGTCCCTTCCAACCACTAAGATTCTGTGATTCTGTGATTCTTTAGGCACCCTTCAGGTATTGAAAGGCTGCTCTAAGTTCTCCCTGGAGCCTCCTCTTCTCCAGGCTGAACAACCCCAGCTCCCTCAGCCTGTCTTCAGAGGAGAGGTGCTCCATCCCTCTCATCATCTTCGTGGCCCTGTTGACCTTAAAGATGATCTTGAAGGTCCCTTCCAGCCCAAACCATTCTATGATTCTGTGATGGCAACAGCATCCCCAGCTCTCTCCTCCGTGGAGAGCAGACCAGCAGGATTTGCTGCCGGAGGGTGCGGGGTCCTGAGGGACATGGTGTAGGGGAGGACTTTGTAGAGTAGGGGAGATGGTTGGACTCGATGATCCCAAGGGTCTCTTCCAACCTGAATGATTCTATGAGAGCCCCCACCGCTGCCGCTCTCCTTCTCCTCTCCCAGCTGCGGGGGCTTCCAAAAGGCAAGACCCAAGGAGCCGTGGAGGCTGGAGCACTTGGTGTGCCCCAGCTCTGCTGCGGCCCCGTGCCAGGGGGTGGGTGGGCCTCTGTGACGCCCAGCAACCCACTAACGCAAATAGCCAGTGGCTCCTCTCCTCCCAGCTCACGCATTGGGCTCCAATTTCTCGGCGTCAGCCTCCGCCAGCGCTCAGCTGTCGGTTCCCCTCTGCCCTGTCACTCCTGCTCTCCACGGGACCGGGGTGGCTGCCCCCCCCTTCCCTACGCAGCCGGCACTGGAAGAAGGGCTGGGGGTTCAGCAGCCAACAAGGCCCCGACGTCTGCCACCCTTCGCGGGGTGTTTCATCGCAGGACCAGAGCTCCCGGCGCAGCGTAAGTGTGTCTCTTGTGTGTGGCTTCCCCTCGGCGTGGCCACCAAGCCCCACGGGCCTCTGCTCCACCCACGTCGCAGCAAGACCCCGGGGCTCTTTGCTTCTGCAGCTCCCCCTCGTCCCAGGACCCCCCAGTCTCTCTGATGGTCACCCTGGTGGGTTTCCATGGGGGATCACCCATGTGGGAGGGATCACCAAAAGCAATGATGATTGAGTATTGTGTCCAGTTTTGGGCACCTCAATCCAAGAGAGATCTGGAGGTGCTGGAGCGAGTGCAGAGGAGGGCAACGAAGCTGGTGAGGGGGCTGGAAAACAAATCCTGAGGGAGTTGGGACTGTTTAGTTTGAGGAAGAGGAGGCTGAGGGGAGACCTCATCACTCTCTGCAACTTCGTGAAAGGACACTGTAGAGAGGTTGGTGCTGGTCTCTTCTCACAGGTAATTAGTGACAGAACGAGAGGGAATGGCTTCAAGCTCCAACAGGGGAGGTTTAGATTGAACATTAGGAAGGACTTTTTCCCCCAAAGAGTGGTCGGGCGTTGTAAGAGGCTGCCCAGGGAGGGGGTGGAGTCCCCATCCCTGGCTGTGTTGAAGGGCCGTTTAGATGCAGTGCTGAGGGCCATGGTGTAGGGGAGGACTTTGTAGAGTAGGGGAGATGGTTGGACTCGATGATCCCAAGGGTCTCTTCCAACCTGGACCATTCTATGATTCTATGAGTAGAAGGACCATGGGGATGGTGAACACTCAGTGGAGGAATTGGGCTGTTTTGGGGGATGCAGGGGCAGATCCCGCCCCAGGGGTATCACGGGGCTTCTACGGAGAAGAAAGCCAGACTGTGTGGTGACACCAGACAACGTGCTTGTTCTAGGGGGGCAAGAATAGCACCATTTGCAGTTTAATCATGAGATGGAGATGTCTAGACAGAGATGGACACATGCAGGTAGCCCAGGGTCTGGTTCACAGCACTGGGCACCACATCCACCAACCCATCAGCAGCACTGGGCCAGCTGGGACGGGTGCCTGTGGTTCTCCAGGCGGTGCAGCAGGACCTGGTGTGTTCCTCAGGACTTGCCCACAGCAGAACTGTGGGCAGGAGATGGTGCTGCTGGAGCAGAGAGAAGCCACTGGCTCAGGAGGTGCTTCCCATCCAGCGAGGTCTGGCTCTCCTGCCCTCACTGGGCACCCACAGTGGGACCAGCCCCAGCCACCGTGACCACGTGTCTCTTTTCCCCTCGTAGCATGACGGAGAAGGAAGCGCCAGAGCCACCAGCGTCACCTGCTTCAGGTGGGAAACCCAAGAGCCGGGTAAGTGGGTGCCCACAGGGCAGCTTGGGTGGGTGGGGGGAAGCCACTTTTCCATCATTTCCATTCCAGCCCCAGGAATCTCTGTGGGGACAGGGGTGCCCAGTGGGGCTCCTGAGCTGGCAGGGCAACCAACTGGGTGGCCATTTCCCAGTTTGGCTTTTCCCTGGGGCACCCACATCCACGTGGTGCTCAAGAAAGAGTCCGTTTCTCCTGTTGGGGGGGACCTCCCCGGGGCCAGGAGAAGAGCCCCCCTTCTTCCTCACAGCATTTCTGCCCCAGGATGTTTGGGGTCTCCTCCCACTTGGGCAAGAAGGAGTCTCTAGGTCAGAGCAAAGGGGCAGGGAGCTGGGCTGCCTGCATCACCCCACACCACCCCTGCCATCTGCGACGCATCCTCTCCTGCCCCAGCAGCTACAGAAGCTGAAGCAACTTTTCCAGCGAAAGCCCAAGGAGGAGACGGCACCGGAGCCACAGCCCAATGGGGAACTGGTCAGCCCCTCGGGGGGACCCATCTACTACATCTATGAGGAGGAGGAAGAGGAGGAAGAGGAGGAGGAGCCCGAGCCCCCTCCCGAACCCCAGAAACTTGTCAACGACAAACCCCACAAGTTCAAAGATCATTACTTCAAAAAGCCCAAGTTCTGTGATGTTTGTGCCCGCATGATTGTCCGTGAGTCCTGAGGGGGCTGGGGTCCGTGGTGAGGGGCGAGGGCTGGGGGCCAAGGCTGCTGAGGGCTCCAGCCCGGCCATCCCTGTGGCTGCAAGTGTCACATTGCCCTCTCCTTTCCACCCCTCTGCCTCCCCCCCCATCATCACCAGTCAACAACAAATTTGGCCTGAGGTGCAAGAACTGCAAAACCAACATCCACCACCACTGCCAGTCCTACGTGGAGATGCAGCGCTGCTTCGGCAAAATCGTGAGTGGCCCCACATGCCCCTGGGCTTTGGGGCACGTCCTCAGGGGGAAGGACCACGGCAGGTCCTTTTTGGGCACGACCCAGGTGCCATCACCCTCCTCCCCTACTGGCTCTGATGGACAACCCCCTCTTAACCCTCATCCTGGAAGGGGGTTTCTCTCCTCCCCTCAACACCCACAGGAGAGCCCATGGGTCTGGGGGGTGGTGGATGCTCTGACCCTCCCTCTTTTCCTCTCCAGCCCCCAGGGTTTCGCCGGGCCTACAGCTCCCCCCTCTACAGCGACCAGCAATACGCCTGCACCAAGGATCCGCTCTGTAAGTACCATCCCCGGGTCAGGGCACCCCATTTTTTGGTGTCCTGTAGCTGAACCCCCCCTCGCTGTCCCTGTGCCCCCGCAGCAGACAACAGGAGCGACCCCGTCTTCGAGACCCTGCGGACGGGGGTCATCATGGCCAACAAGGAGCGCAAGAAAGGGCAGGATGACAAGAAAAACGTGAGTGCGGGGTTGACCTGGCGCTCCAAATGCCCCCAAGGGTCCTGCCAAGCACCGTCTCAGTTTGTGCCCGTTGCCCCTCGTCCTGTCTCCAGGCACCACTGGGAAGAGCCCGACCCCATCCTCTTGACACCTGCCCTTTAGATATCGAGGAGATCCCCTCTCAGCCTTCTCCAGCCCCAGGTCTCTCAGCCTTTCCTCATCAGAGAGGTGCTCCATTCCCTTGATTGCCTTTGTAGCCTCCATGGATTCTTTTCAGTAGTTCCCTGTAGTTCCAGTAGCTCCCTGTCCTTGAACTGGGGGGCCCAGAACTGGACACTGTACTCCAGATGTGGCCTCACCAGGGCAGAGTTTCACCCTGCGAAAGGGAGTCTTCAGTTCAGGTCTCCATCCTGGGGCATGTTCTGCTTCCCCTGGTTGACCCGGACACGGGAGATCCTTGGGTGGAAGCTGGTCCCAGGGCAGGGAAGCAGCATCAGGAGAGATGTCGCTGCCCTCCTCCTGTTTCCAGGCACCTCTGAAGGGGACAAGAAGACTGAGAAGAGCCCAACAGATGACAAGGTAACCGTCATCCTCACCCTACACCCAAAAAGGTCCCCAGCCTTGGAGCAGCGTGGGCAGAGGCTGCAGGGCTGTCCCTGCTGGGCTCCCTGGGGCTCTCCTCACCTTCGCTGGGGTTCCTCTCTTTCCTCCTCCCCCAGAACAAGAAGCCACAGCCAGGGATGCGCGGGGGCTTCATGCAATCTCACTATTTTGTGGCACTTTATCGCTTCAAAGCCCTGGAGAAAGATGACCTCGATTTTCCGTAAGTTCCTGCTATTTCCAAGGCTTCGGGGGTTTCTCTGGAGGTGGTTCCACTGATTTCTTGCACCCCAGGCTTGATGTTGAGCTGCTCACGTACAGGACCCCCCTTTCCTGAGCCCACAGGCCGGGTGCTTTCCTCAACCCCCCCCGACACAGGGCTCTAGGAGCTGGTGCTGGGGGAAGGGAGATTTTCCTTGCCCAACCTCAGGGTCCCCCAACTCCCCCTCACCCCGAGCCCTTCCTTCCCTTCGCAGGCCGGGGGAGAAGATCACGGTGGTCGATGACTCCAACGAGGAGTGGTGGAGGGTAAGGCCCGTGTCCTGCAAACACAGAGGGGAAAGATGCAGAGTTTAAAGCCAAAAGGGGGAGGGCAGCTGGGGGGGCCGATTGCGCTCGACGGAGGGCACAAACCCCCAAATCTGCTGCGTCCTCATGCCAACCCACAGCCTCGTGTGGGTCAGCGTGGGGGGACAGGTCAAACAAATTGGCTCCAACCAACCACCTCGCACCCGTTCACTGACTTCTTGCAGGGGAAGATCGGTGAGAAAATTGGCTACTTCCCCCCAAACTTCATCATCCGGGTGCGGGCAGGAGAGCGGGTGCACAAGGTGACGCGCTCCTTCGTGGGCAACCGGGAGATCGGGCAGATCACGCTCAAGAAGGATCAGGTGAGATGGGAGCGTGGGGTCACAGCCCGTGGGTCTCCAGCCCCCCATCTGCATCTCTGCCCCACCCCATGGCACCCCATGGCCCCCCACGGCACCCCATGGCATCTACAGCACCCCACGGCACCCCACAGCACCACACGGCATCCACAGCACCCCATGGCACCCTATGGCACCCTATGGCATCTACAGCACCCCATGGCACCCCATGGCATCCCAGGGCACCCCATGGCACCCTATGGCATCCACAGCACCCCATGGCACCCCATGGCATGAGATGGGAGCGTGGGGTCACAGCCCGTGGGTCTCCAGCCCCCCATCTGCATCTCTGCCCCACCCCATGGCACCCCATGGCCCCCCACGGCACCCCATGGCATCTACAGCACCCCACGGCACCCCACAGCACCACACGGCATCCACAGCACCCCATGGCACCCTATGGCACCCTATGGCATCTACAGCACCCCATGGCACCCCATGGCATCCCAGGGCACCCCATGGCACCCCATGGCATCCACAGCACCCCATTGCACCCCATGGCCCCCC